ATATTTTTTTCAATACAGCTCCGGTAGCTCGAAGTCTGCAAAGTCAGCCAATCCAAATGTCTTCATTTATAGTGATTGAGATTTACTTTACAGTAAACAACTTTGTACAATATACATACAGCCAAATTTTGGTTTAGAATAGGCAAAGTACAAATACATGTAATCGCTTTGAATAGAGTTGGTTGCGAACGAACGAATAGACCTCCTCCGCTCTGACGTAATGTTGTACCATTTCAGACCACGTGTCATTCCCAAGAGTATCATTTCTTTGTTTAAGGTTTGCGCTCGATTGCACATGGGACGACACATGAATATGTCATATACTCAAACAAAGAATATTATTCTCAAGGGTCTGAAATGACGTGGTCTGAAATGGGACGACATTACGTCGAGTCGAGAAGGTCTACAGTATGTATTTCATAAAATATTATGTGTTGAATATTTCATATACTTTCGTCTCTTTCTTTTGTAATGTTTTCATGTATATTATCACTAAGTAATCATACGGTTTCTCGTTCAATTTGGGATAATTCGCATTCGTGCATTTTTTCTTTAAAAGAGACTGGGACGAGTTTAAAATATTAATCTTAATAAAAGTCAGGCAAATTTGAACATGATTGGATGAAACGAAGCAGAATTTTTGTTTTTCGAAAGTGTCGAAAATTTAGAAAGAATGTACGGTTACAGGACAAATGTAATTCCGAGGATCAAGGTTGTTTAATAACTAGACACAGGAAGTACAAAAAAAAGGTTTCTTAAGCCCAAAATTGTATTTTGAAGTCCTTACTCATTATTCGTATTTATTACTAGCAAGAAAATCAGAAAATACTTTTCTTCGCTCTTGCAGAGCGAGCTAGCAATGGTTTTCATGCCATGTCAGTTAACTTCCGGTCCATGAAATTATGCAAAATCGCATAAGACTACATAATTTACCTAGAATAACATAATTTACCAAAGAAGAACACCATGTATTCTGTCTCTAAATGGATAAGAGCTCTAAACTAGAGGCTATTTTCGATGGGTTGCTGATGATTTTTTAAAATTATATGTAAATATTTTAAACAACATTTACATAACAATGAGCAATTTCATTGGCTAATGGATGACAATAAAGAGACAGACACAATCCTTTTTATTCTAAAATGTTTAATAATTACGCTTTTTTTTTCAAACTTCGACAAAAGATTTATTTTTTACTTATCGCTTTAGCAAATTCAAAGAAAAATATATTCCCTTGCAAAATTGTAGGGTTTTGCCTTGTTGAAGTTCAAAACGTGTATGGTTCGTAATTAAAATTTTAAACCTTGTTCAACGGTTTTGAGCAGTTTTTGTGCGCGCTACACCGTGAGCTTAAATTGATCGTCCGGCATACACCTTGAATTTTTTTACTGTAAGACTATTGCCGGTTTTCACGTGACGTCATCAAAACATCAAAATCTAAGCTATACTGCGCATAAAAGGCATTTCTAAAATATGTTTCAGAAATCAGTGATATGTGAAATCAGTCACAGATTTCCCTGCTAGCGGAGTATCCCTCATTGACGATTCTTGCTGCTAGCAGGGAAAATGGGGATGTATTAAAAGCAGGAACTGAATACCGAAACGAAACCACCGGAACAAAGCGGACATTTTCATCTGTCTGTGAACTCGAATACATGTTCTGCGTGAACCAGATATCTGGGTACGAATCGCTGTCTTCATTGATTTTAACGAACACATAACTGTGCAAACTTTAATATTTATATTCATACTAGCTTGTTTTCTTTTGTTTAATGTTTCAACGGGTAAATGTTTTCAGCGTCTTTGTTTTTCAAACAAGTAAATTGTTTACATCTTAAGAATTGACGACTCTTTTAAAAAAACTCCTTATCATGCGGGCTTAGCCTCACTTTTGAGATCTGAAAAAAAAGCAGAAACTAGAATATCAAAACAAGCAACTCCTGGATTCGAGGCTAAGCCCGCATAGACGTCCGCATACACTGGAGTTTCAAGAGCCGTCATTTTGAAAACTTTTTTGTTGTTGGCCTTTCACTCAGATGGATATGCGGTTTAGTTCCGCACGAGCACTTTTACCCGCGGGGACTAAACCAAATGTCCCCTCGTTTCAGGCCAATAACCCTCACATAACTTTGTAACAAACCATTATTAAAATTATATTTCAATACTTACAGGTACGAACTCTGGTGCCTCGACCCAATTATTTGGTGGTATTGAACTAGCCTTTAAATTTTTTTTGGTTAAACGTACCATCTATTAAGAAACATAAAATAGTTTATCATCAAGAAATAAAAAATATTATACAACAATAAATAAATGTTGAAGCAGGATCAAACTACAATAATCTTCCAGAAAAAAAGTGAAAGTCCTTGTCATGTGGAAAAATATTCACTCTTTAGACTTAGAAGAGTGGTGATTTATGATTCAATTCCTACATATTATTTTAGCAATTAGATTGATGTATCTTATAAAATTGTATGCCTGATTCATGATTCTGTTTTATCAAAACAAATCAATGAGTCTCGATAAAAGTCTCTCCATCAACAGCCATGAGCAAATACGAAAATCTCTATAAAGCTGAAAACATTGTTTTCGATTGGCAACAACTATTTCTTATTCAATGGAAACTACTCTCGACACAAAAGTTTGTCAATTTCAAAATAAAATTCTTAATCGGGATTTTGTATACCAACGATATTTTGTTTAAAATAGGCTCTTATTAGTGTTCTTATTGAACGTTTTGTTGTCCGGACATTGCCCTGGCTGGAATGAGGTGAAGTGTATAGATCGTGACCCTCATTATAGACATGCAAAGCCAAAGAAGCCATTCAGATCCGACTCCATCCGACTTCACATACAGAGAAAGGTCATTAATAAAGGCCAAAAATAAGGTAGGACCGAGTACAGAGCCCTGTGGGAATCCCGACACCACTGCAATTTGAGGTAACATCGTGACTCCTTCTCCGAATGATGTATTCCTATCACGTCGATAGATGATATAATTGGATGAAAAATTTCGGTGTCCTTAATGTCTGGTCGTAACCAAGATTCGGTTCCAACTACAATATCTGGTTTGATATTGTCAAGCATAACATGGAGTTGTTCCTTCTTATTTACAACAAATAGCAGATTGGCAATTAATGTTTAATAAGTGCAGATTCTTTTTAACTGGTTTCCAGGTTAATTTAGCACATATTTTCGGTTTACTTGGCTTTGGCTGTCTGCAATGAATTTGAGTTGAAGTACTTTGTGGTCGTTGGAATATAGTATCTGTTATAGTTGGTGAGACCGATGACAATCGATCGTACAAATTACTAACTGACACTCCAAAAGAGCTCAGGAACGAACCAGAAAAATTTGGTACTTACACTGGCTTCCTGTATCTAAGCGCATTAAATTCAAGATTCTTCTCCCTACATTCAAAGCAATACACCATTTGGCTACATCCTACATTTTAGACATCATTCCACTTTATAAACCACCAAGATTACTTCGATCTTGTTCTGGCGTCTTATTAAAACAGAATAACTACAATCTGAAAACATATGGTCATCGTTCTTTCTCTATCAGTGCTCCTGAACTATGCAACTCTCTTCCGTCTTCGTTGAGAAACACTTCAGATCTCACCTCTTTTAAATCATATTTAAAAACATTTCTTTTCAAGCAAGCTTTCGATTTGTAAATAATTCTTTTAGACATACTTTTCTACAGTTCTTTTTCCGGCCCTAACGAAGGCAATTTTTCGCAATGTTCTTTTTCTCATGACGGCGTTTCCAAGCAGTTTTGTTGAAGGCTGTACCAAGATTTCGTAAGTGTTTGAAAGGTTTTTGAGTTATTAATGTAGAATGACCCTTGGATTTGAGATACGGGTATTTTGGAAAAAGTGCTCTTGGAGGCATAAAATGGCCTGATTTTTTTGTTGTCCACAAACTGCACTTCCGATCAAAATGCGCATGCTCATTTTTTCTTTGCTCCACAAACTGCACTTCCGGTCAAAATGCGCATGCTCATAACTTTGGCTTTCGACTCGATAATCCCAAATGGCTCAAAGAACGTGTCGACAAATTAAGACATTTGTCTTATGCTGTCTTCGCGTTTGACAACTCTCTTAGGAGTGCCATCGAAAACATGAATAGACCAGCTTCGAATTCCAAATTACCGCTGTGTTCCTGTGTTCCTCGCTAGCCTGAGATATTAGCATGCGATTCCTAATTGGTCGGATTGTAGTGACGTCATGGGTACACAAGAGATTGGCAGTGTCAAGCAAGCTTCATGCAGTTGACAAACCAAACTTTATTCAATTTTAAGAGAAATTGTGCTAGAGGAATTCCTTGTGAAATTCTGAAAGGTTTTTGAAGGAATCCATAAACAGCACATGTAAAAAATACTTAGCTGAGACAACATCATTTAAGCTTGTTTTTAAATCAAAACAATGATCACTCGATTGAGACTCATTTTTTGGAGTTGGTTGCAGATGACACTGTAAGTTGTCCAAAATTCTCCGCCTAAAATAAACTGAAATACAGTAAATACTGCTGTATCCCAAGAACGTGTACTTCTGACCTGAACTTCTATTTTTTCAAAATGAGCCGGATTTTCGATGGACAAACTTGTTGAATTCACTGAGTCAAAAGTTCAAAAACTTTAAGCTTGAGAGAAAATTTAGCATTTACTGTTGGAATCAGTTGTTTACCAGTATATTATAAGAAAAGAAGAAGAGGTTTTAAGATAATTAAACATAAAGGCACAAATACGCCGAACTGAGAGCATCTGGCGGAACAAATTGCAAGTAAAATGCCCTTCAATCAGGTAAAGTAATCTCTTTTTTATTACTTTGAATCCTCAAATGCTAAGTTTGATTCGCTTTTAGTACTTGGCCGATATTGTGATTGCATTTCTATTGTCTGTTGGGGACTTTAGAAGTTGAAAAGTTGTGGGGRAAAAACCTGAACGTCGAGGAAAAATTCAAGGTGCAAAATATGAAAGAAAGTTCTAGTTTTAATAGTCAAACTTTTTCATTGATTCGCCTTTTCTCAATGGAAAATGTCTTTTGCATAAAGTGACATACCGTATTTTGGCAAGCTAAACACATTAAATAATTATAAAAATCATTTCAGTGCCTTTTGTAGTTTTTTCCTTTGTGATAACAGTAATTTATCTTCAGTACATTTCGGTGAAGTTCTGATTCGTGAATGAAACAAAATACTCGTCTTGTTCATCATCTTAATCACTTGAACTTAAACTCTATTTACTATCGAAAACGCTACGATAAATGCTTTTTTTCGCTGACTTCACTGTAGGTTCTTCGCTTTTTTTATCGCTTTTTTTATCGCGGTTTCCTTCCCTGGCGTCTTCGCTGTTTTTAGCTTGTTCGTATACTGAAAACCATCCTGATTTGATCTTTTTCGATGTTCTTTTACATCAATCGTTAAGTTTGATGTTTAATTCGTCTATGAAGAATACATGATAGTTTAATTTCAACTTTTTAGTGATTTTGAAGGCATTTTTCTCGTCGGAAACTACACATTTTTCGCTCACATTGAAGTCACTACAATTCTTACCAATCAGGAATCGCATGCTAAAAATAACTCTGCCTTGCGCGCTATAGAGGTTTAGAGGTTACAGACCCATGTATGGGAGATGTGCTCTCTTACTTAAATATTCTCTTGGGTTTCGTTGCAACAAAAATTTTAGAATTTTAAGGCATCTTAGATTTTATTATTTCATTACAGTTATTTTAATTATTTTTCGTTAAAATCAAACATAAAATGTGATGTTTTTTAACTTTTGATTTCTGTAAAAGTAAAACATAAGGTAAAGCCGGTTTTTTTTGTTTGTTTTTGCTTTTTTTCTTTTGTTGGAGGGTGGGGAGTCGCGGTTTCAGCGTTTCGGCATCGCAAAACAAATATAGGAAAATGGAGGGATCTTTAGTTTGCCTCCCCCCCTCCCCTTCGGAAAGTCCTGGCTACCCTCCTGGAAGCCCAAGCACACGCATGAAATGCACCTACTTTACTTAATGATTGTGGAGTATTATTTTACATTAAGTTGTTATAAAGCATCTAATCAACAATATCATTTACACATGCTCCGAGTGGCCATTAACCGATTTCTTGAAAGTATAATAAATCTGCGTGTCGCTGAATTATACCAACCTTACTTTCCTGTGTGCYTCTGTCGTCAAGATTGGTTACAACTGGCTTTTGAGAAAAAGGAGTTCTGGCAATCAAAAAAAGTATCCATATTAATAAAGTCTCTAAAGTGTGTTTAAGTGACATATTAATACATATAGTCCAAACAGCTACATTGACTTCAGTAGATTCATTTTTATAATCATTTATCTTTTTCTTTTTAAAATATTTTTTTAGTGCGCGCGCTCTGATTGGCAGAAAAGCTACGTTTTTCTAGAGTGTAAAATCATAGATATGACGCCAAATTCTTTTTTCTATACAAATTCATACATAGAAAGGATGTCACAGGAATTCGGTTTTTCCAAATTTGATAATTTTGACACCTCGAATTTTAAATATTTATTTATTATTATTGAACATTACGTCTTCTCATGCGCAACCGTTAAACAAAGAAATGATACTGTAGGGAACACACGTGGACTGAAATGGAAAAACATTACGCCTGAGCGTAAGATGGTCTATAGAGTACCGATGTGATGATGTCAGAAAAAATATTCTTAGAGATATTTAGGATTAGTGTGGAATTTCAGACCATTAGAGCGAAAAACATATGAAATTTCCCAATACATTTTCTCTCATTTGAGGCTGGATCTAATGCGATTGGATCCAGTTCAAAATAAGAGAAATTGTTATATACAGTAGCTACGAAATTTTCCGACTTAACGAACACTCTCATTGGTTGAAAGATGACCACATGACACTAGCTAAATCTAAGTGTATCCCGACCGGGAAATAAGTAACTTATTTCCCGGTTGGGAAATAAGTTGCACGTGACAAGAATTCAAAGTTAACGCCTTTCATCGCTGTTTTCGGAAAGTCGCGCAGAAATAGCACAAAGAACAAAAGTTTTCAAGTAATATAAGCTTAAGGTAACAATCACCTAGACTTGAAAAATAAAAACAAAAGATTTATACATGCAAAAACAAATACATATATATTTATTCATCGGTTTTGCAAATGTCCTTCAATATTTCTTTTAGTTTATCGAGTGTCAAAGGCCCTTTATAAGCTTTCGAATCAATCGGTCTTCCCTCAATAAGACAGTACGAAATCACAGCTGGATAAGCTCGTTTTGTGCAATTATAATAGCAGGTAAAGCTAAATACATGGCGAATATGTATATGTAATAGGACTCCATGCTGTCCAATTAAGAAATAATTGGACGAGGAAAATTCCAAAGACTGACAAAATTGGATGAGGCCGTAGGCCGAGTCCAATTTGGCAGTCAGAGGAATTTTTCGAGTCTAATTATTTCTTGATTGGGGAGCATGAAATCCCATTAMCTATTAATTATATAGCTGCCTAGTTAATCCCATATCAACAAGACCTATCCAATTAAGAAAATAATTGGACAGTTACCTATATGGGATTAATGAGAAGTTGTATAATTATTGGTGTAATACGTATGGCATAGTGTCTACTGCTTATTAATATGCAGTAGACACAAAAAGTCAGTAAATGAAAAAAAAAACGTCCGCCCGCCAAACATGTTTAGAAACCCAAACGACAAACATGTTTTTTTTTTTACTTGGCCTAATGAAGAGATTGATAATTTCATAAAGTAACCCCCCCCCCCCCCCCAAATTGATGGATTTTAACCATTCCCAAGAGAATGAAATACCAAAAGACACGACGGCCATGTTGGAGGATATAACAAAAGAATTCATTGACAATTGTTTTGTTAAGTTCCTCCAACATGGCCGCCGTGAAAACCATTAAAAGCGGTACATAACAAAGATTAGGTGTTAAATAAGCTTCAACATACCTGCACATTGGGCAACCCAGTACACGCTTCGAGAGAGTCTCGTTATTCTAATCATATTTTTATAATTTATTGTATATGTAATTCGTGGTGTTTTCAAGCACTTTTAACATGAGCCTGGGGCTTGGGAGATTGGGCGACCACTCCCTGTGTTATTGACGTTAAATAAATTATCCTATCCTATCCCGCCTATCAAGTGTCCCTGTTCTCTACCTCGACTTGCACACTCACAGCAATAACTATTCATGCATACCTGTTTTGATCACGGTCTGGATTTACATGGTCATATCTACAGGATTTGCCATAAGAACACAAACCTTTAAGATGGTACTTACAAACCTGAAATCATAAACAATAGGAAATGATGTTGATGGAAATAATAATAATGATTTATTATTCATTATTTATATAGCCCTATTTACTATTCCACAATTGTGGTGCCACTGCCTGGAACGATCGCGCGCCCAGGGTGACTAACATCCTTGAGGTTCTAATAAAATACCCGTATTCTTGGATCTAAGGTTTTATGAAGACTTCTACTTAATAACTATCAGATTCTTGATGTATAAAGGCACTAGGCCATATATTCAATACTATTAATTAATATGCGCATATTTAATTGATTCATCAAAACGAGGCTAAGCCCGCAGGGCTTTGAATACAAAATGGCGGCCAAGCAGTTTAAAGCTGGTTTGCCACAGGCAACTCAGTAGACCATTACCAAATCCCAAGAGTGTCATATGGCTCTCAGATCTATACCCTATTTTAACCAATCAAAAACTCTTGAAATACAATAGATTTGACGTTCTTTTGTGTATTAACCAATGGAAGACAAGCTGTGCTTCCTAATATTATGCAACGATCAAGCATGGTTACAACACAAAGTCTTATATGGTTTTTCTTTTCTTATCAGTGGATATTCTTGGGATTTATGGGGTAGTACAGGTAACCAGTCATTTCGCCCACGGACCATTTCGCCCRCGCCAATTCGCCCACGCATAAAATCATCGATCATGCGTTTGCCAATTCGCCCACGTGTAGAATCACTTTAAGAAATACGTTACCATGACTAAAAAAAAGTACCTACCAACCCTACTTGACGCTTAAGCTCAAGACTTCAAAACGCGAACTTTTTATACGAATACCGGTCGTTTCGCTACCACGCACTTTCGCTACCGTCGGTTCGCTACCACCCGGAGTCCTTTCGCTACCATTGGAAATTACCAAAACAAAACTTCGATAAGACTTGTTAAAAAGAAACATAGTCCCTTGAAAGACATTTGTAAATGATTTTGAAGCATATTGAAAGTGGAGATCTAAACGCGACCAAGGACAGCGTTCACTTAGCTGCCATATGAGTCCGTTTCTACCAACTTATGACTCGGATGACTTTATTTCCCTATTTCCCTATACTCTAACCTGTGAAATGTGTGTTTTGGGTAGCTTTATCATTCTTTATTATTTTTTACTTGCCAAAGTTCGAGAAAAATACAAAATACCTTATGCGCGAAACATCGATCGACAAGCGACGCCATATTGTTTTCGTGTAATCAACAAGCTTTTCCTTAGTCGTTTACTAACAGTTTGTTTTCTTGAAATCCATTAGACTTTATTATTTGCACTAAAAAACTAAGACGAAATGATCTAGCGACTTTATCTGGAATAAATTTGAGGCCATTTAATATCTGATGAAACGCCAAAAAGTTAACGATTGAGTGGAACAATCGAGCTCAGTTTACGGTGTTTCATACGAGTCTTTTCGCTACCAATAAGTTTTTAGTCTCCGTAGAGTAGTTTGTTGAAAACATTACAATATCCTTCTTCTTCATCGAAAAATCGAATGTTTAGGACATATTTAATATTATTTAATACCTTCCGCGAAACATCGATCGACAAACGACGCCATATTGTTTTCGTGAGCTTGTCTAAAATCATATTTTTTGTAGATGTCAGATTCAGCAACACACGACATCTCCCATTTTAAAGCACCATATCTTTTCCTTTAACTTTATTAGTGAAAAGAATAAAGTCTAATGGATTCTAGGTAAAGAAAGCGTCAGTAAACGACTAGGAAGCTTGTTGATTACACGAAAACAATATGRCATCGCTTGTCGATCGATGTTTAATAGGCGTAAAGGTATTTTGGCTTTTCTAGCTCGAACCTTGGCAAGTCAGAAGCAAACTCGCCCACGCTTTGTTTCTGACTTCTTAACAACACGTTCAAGCTTATTGACTGATTAATTCATTGAACATAAAGACTAGTAAATTGTAAATAAATGAAACAACCGAGTTTAAGTCCGTCAAGCAGGATCTGATTAACCTGTCTTTCTTTTTTATCGAAATCTCCTACAGCTGTTTTTACAGCGTCCTCTGTTACGACTCAGTGAATTCGAGACGCTGAAATAATTTGCCCGAGAAGCGAAGGCTGAATTTCCTGTTTTTTGTAYCATGGCTACTCAAATAAGAAGACAGTTTGGTTAACAAGTTTGACATAAAGTTTAAAAACCGATTCAAGATGCTGTAAAATTTAAGAAACCGACTAGGCGGCATATRATACTACAAAGCTATGGCGTCAGGCGTCCTTCGACGGATAATACGGATATATAAAACTTTGTGTTCTAAGAAGTATTTATGTCAAGTAAGCTTAATAGTGATAAAAAAGTCTAGAAGTAATTCAACTGAGGTTTAAAAAGGMTAAAGTGACATTTACATTGGTTTATAAGTTGTTTCGTTCGTTAGCGAGTTAGCGTAGGCGAGTCCGTTATGGCGTATAAAAGTTCGCGTTTTGAAGTCTTGAGCTTAAGCGTCAAGTAAAGTTGGTAAATCACCAACTACTTTTTTTAGTCATGGTAACATATTATTATTTCTTAAAGCGATTCTAAACGTGGGCGAATCGGCGTGGGCGAATCGGCGTGGGCGAATCGGCGTGGCCGAATTGGCAAACGCATGATCGATGATTTTATGCGTGGGCGAATTGGCGTGGGCGAAATGGTCCGTGGGCGAAATGACTGTAAACCGTAGTACAGGCACTCTCAGGAGGAAAGGGTTAATATGTAGATCTTGGAGTCAAGTTGCTTGGTAAAAATCAGAAGACTTGTCGTTTCACTCCTTGATCAACTTCATACAACGCATTTGTGACGCCATAATTTTATGGCGTTCCATCCCCGCCAAAATTGATGGTTTGTATTTGAAGTTCATCACATGAATTTTGCATTCGAGTAAATTTTTTWATGTTACCATCTTGTATTTCATATGCTTCATCAAGGGTTCAACATACGTGTTTTATATTTGTCGTTCATGTTTTATATTCTTGATTGTCGCTGATTCATTCTAGTCCCAGTGTAATCATAGTACTTATTTATACGGAACAAATTAAAGACATGAACATTTCCACATGCGGTTTAGATACGGTTTAGATACTCTAAACGAAGMAATAAGCTACTACAGTCATCCTCCTGTTGGCGGTTTGTATCAAGCTGCCGAATTGCCTCTTCAACAACAGAAGGCAAACTCTGCCGCCATTTTCTCTTCTTTTCATACCTACGACTGCGTTGTTTTAGGTCAGCGGTTTCTAAGGTCAACCGAGTTCACCGGAGCGTGAAGTTGAGTTGAAAATAAAATTCGTAGAGTTTGTAATGTTAAACTCAAAGAACAAATACGTGGCGTGGAGTTTAGAATGAATCAGCGACAATCAAGAATATAAAACATGAACGACAAATWTAAAACRCGTATGTTGAACCCTTGATGAAGCATATGAAATACAAGATGGTAACAAAAAAATTTACTCGAATGCAAAATTCATGTGATGAACTTCAAATACAAACCATTAATTTTGGCGGGGATGGAACGCCATATAATTTTGATCCCTATTATTGTAAAACTACTTTGCAACACATTATCTAATGTTATTCGTTTGTAAAATATTATGCTATGACTTGCACATAGACATGCACAGAAATGACCATACATTCTTCATTTGCAATAGACGTCATAGCCGCCATGTTGAAAGAATTTGACAAAAGATTTTTCAATTAATTCTTTTGTTATATCTTCCAACATGGCAGACATCCCTTTTGTTATTGTGCTTCCTTGGGATTGGTTGCAAACGAAGAATATGTAACAAACCGACTAATACTCTATTTTACAGTTCCGTTCGAGTGACCACGAATAATAGTTGCAAGTCGAGGCTGCAGTTTCCGCGCATAGCAAAACTATATTTTTTATCATGCGTGGAAACTCCAGCCTCGGCTTGGAACGGAACTGTGAAATGGAGTATTGGCATACATATGCAATGAACCGACTATACATATGTAACGAAGCAACCAACCAACCATATGCAATGAACCAATCATATGTAACGAATGGACCATACATATGTAAGGAACCGACCATACATACGTACAAACTGACCATACATATGTACAAACTGACCATACATATGTAATGAACTGACCGGACAAATGTACAAACTGAGCATACATATGTAATGAACTGACCAGACAACTCATGTAATGAACCAACCATACATATAAGTAACGAACCAACCTAAATACCATATGTAATAAACTGACATGTAACGATGCAATTACCATTGAAGGTCTGTCCCTGGCATCATGAGAAAACTTGCAGTTTGAACCAGCTGTACAAATTCCATTCATAAAATATCTAAAATGCAATCACCAAGTAATTAGTCATTCATAAGTCTAAACCCTAGCCCAGGAAGTCTTTGCATGAAACATAATAATGATAATAATAATCATGATTTATATAGCGTCCGTTCTATATGGATATAATCAAAGCCGCTTTGCATTGAGTGAATGACAGATTGAACAACAGATTGCTTTTATAAAATTTACAAGCATGTAGGCACTGAGGGTGGTCACTGCCAGGGTTTCTTTACATCCTCAGCRGTCCTCTTACGTCCCTCAGATGTTGGTTAGTAATAATGACTGTGTAGAGCGACTGGACCGTCATTTAAAGTGGTCATCCGAGCCACTTGAAAGTCTATCCATTTGCAGATGTAATTACAAAGCTGGCACTTTCTCCTTATATGTTAAGACCCTGAGTGTTGAAGGGGATGGATAGCCACCCCCTTTTTGCTCAGATTTCTCAGTATTGTCCTTAGTAGGTCACCCCCATTTTCCTGGCATTCCTGGTAAAACCTTCATAATAGTCACCCCTTTCCTAAAATTTCTGGATCTGCCACTGATAGCGATTAACTTATGTTCGCATAGCGAAATAATTGCAATAATATCAAACTGAGCCACTGTACGGCATCTGTCAATGGTTAGAGTATGGTATTATGGTTGGATGAGATAGTAGGGACTGCAGTTTTGAATGGTTCCACTTGGAGTGTGTTGGCCTTTAATGTGCCACATAAGATCAAATTATAATGTCTCCAATCTTTAGTTAAAGTACTTTACAAAAGGAAAAAACTGGCATTTTCTAATGATTTTCTTGTCTGCAGTTTTGATTTGAGGGATATTCAAGTTTTAAGAATATACTAATGAGAAGGTGGATGACATCATATTTGCATAGATTACAGTATATCTCTAAGAGTACTTGATGAAAACTTTGCAGTACACCTGTATTGAAAATTCATAACATGAAAAAACACAATCAATTTTAACCTTTCAGCAATTGCTTTTTAATTTTTTTGAGTTGAGCACAAAATTGTTTGACTATGACCATAACATATTTTAACATGGCCTCATTCTAATCTATCCCTCGTAAAGCTTGAAATATCAAAAACTTGAATTTTAGGTAGGGGTGGCCTGGAACCTAGGCTATTTTATGACAACTTACAGTTAATTAATCGGKTTTTTTTTTGAAGAACAGCTAGAGTACTATCAAAGTTTGGATGATTTTGATTGTAATTATGCTGAGATCAAACTTATTATAATCTAAGGTCGCTCAAGTATTGAGAAAACTTGACGTCATCTGGAAAAATGGCCAACATGCTTTTAACTCCAATATGTTATGATTAGAAAAATAGGATGTCTGAAAACAGAAGTGAAAATTCACTTCACATTCAGGCAAAAAACAGCAAGTCAGAAATTTGATCATAGTGACACTTTTAGGGCCACCAACGACAGATGATAGGTTCTGCCAATGGTGCAAGCTATAATTAACCAATAAAGATTGATTCCAGTTGATACCAGTGTGAACTTTATATATAACAATTGAGTATGGAGGAATTACAGAATATCTTAATTCGGCTCCACTCCATATGAATTTATCATTTTCACACCAGGTAGGAAGTAGGGGATCAACACCCAACTAGTGCATTGTTCCAGTGAAGTTTCAAGATCAGCTGATCTATATTTTAAACGATATTCATCCAAGTCCCCCTTAAAAGTATTTTTAGCTTTTTAACTTAACATAATAAATTATATAAACTTATACCTGCAGAGTATGTTTTTCATGCCAGAGTCACAACTGAAAAGACAAACAAAGACAAAGTTAATGTTCTTTCTTTCCCCTTTTCTTTTTCTTTTTCTTTTAAGAGGTTCACACAGTACAATGTAAATGTTGTAAATGTAAATGCCAATTTGAAACACAGGTAGCCCAAGCTCAAGCTTGGCAACACATAGAGGATTTTGAATAATTTGAATACTGTTAGACAAGATGCCCTATAGACATTTGCTGGGTTGACGCACAGAGGCCTAGTACAGCGGAAGAAGTTTGCAATGTTAGCCAAAAAGATATAAATGGAATGTTTCACAGAAAAGAATGATTTCATTTAACTTATCTAACGAGATCTTTTCCCTTAAGGTGACTGCCTACTTTTGAACRTTCAATTTGAGCCCACGTGGATGAGTGCGTGCTCAAAAGCTGCATAATATTAATCTACAAGATTTTATTGAAGAACCATACACATTTTGAACTTCAAGTGAGCAAAATCCTCAAATYTTGCACAAAAAACCCTTCTAAAAATTGACATTATATCAAATTCTTTAAAAAAGTTAATTCTTCTAACACAGGAGAGGGCACCGTCTTTTTGTCAATATTCTATCTATGTAGTATAATTGTAGAATGATTCACTTGCTTGCATTTATGCAATTAAAGAGTCTATAAAGAGCTATTATCTATTATTTTTTCCTGATTATTTCCAGTGGCCAAATTTTTACTTCAAAACCTCACACGTAGGCATCTATAAAATGCTGATCATCTGAAAAACAAGCTAGGGATACGGTACCCATTTTTCTTTTCATATTTGGAGTCAGCATTAAATTTCACTCTAGAAAATTGTAGCTTAAAAAAAAACATTTAATTTTTTTTCAAAAGAAGCGAGTCACCTTAAGGCATTCTAATCTTTGCAGCAACTTAAAAAAAAAGAAAATGCATGTAGACTCATTTCAGTCATGTGATTTGCAGCCCCACCTCCATTTAGCCACTTTGATAATTTAGTAACATTGATTGGCAACTGTGGCATGAAAATTGATCAGACTTTACACAGGATCACTGTATCATATGCCTGCAAAGGACTCTATATCTATTTTGAAGTCTCCTGCAATAATACTTGCAATAAAAAAACGTTTGAAGTGGAAGGGATTGCAAGCAAATTTGGGTCAGASGTGTAGATTCTTCCTCGTCATTATTGTTATCAGGTGAGCTAGAGCTTATTGAAACTGACCCAAATTCCCTCAAACCTCATTACATACATCATCAAAGAACACACAAAAACACCATGTAATATGGCAATTTTTTCAAGTATATCTCTTCGAAATTATCTTATTCAAGAACCTCCATACATTTCCTTATATATATGTATTCCACAAACAGAGYTTGGGCTGCCTATGCTTTGAGTGACATTTACATGTATATTTTTTGGGGTATAAATTTTTATCTAAATGATCGACTCTTTAGGGATATTCGGATATAACTAAGCCAAGTTTTAGCACAGTCATCCAGCTCATGTCGCTATAAAAACAGGAATGCACTGTTATCAAACTTCAGAAAAGTGGGAATTGCCCTATTTCACTATGAGATCACATCAAAACAATCTATTGCATAAACACAAAGGATCATGGTCATCAGAGGGGTCAAATCAACACAAATTCACCGAAAATAGTTATAAAACCTGTATTAATCCACAAAGAGAAGTAGAATAGCCAGCAAACTCTCAGAATATTTTTTAGTACATATTAACACATATCATATCTGAAAACCAGGCCATTTTAGATTTAACAGTTTTGCCAGGAGCAAGTTTTGTTGAATTTTCTATTGGATTTGGCGATTCTATACCCCACATAAACAAGCAGTGACGTCATGGTGAAATAGGGCAATTACTTTTTCCATCATAAGATCATAAGTGATCCTATCTATAAGACGGCTAACATATCCTCGAATGCCAAGCTGAAGAAAATCAAGGAAAGTGGCCAGTCATCTAGAAAGTTGAACATTATTCGAGTATGCAGCTATAATATGCTGAACATTTTGTGATTTATATGGTAAGTCTTAAGCTTCTGATCGACCGGTTAATTTGAGCTATTATTTTTTTWAAATTTGTTTGAATATAGTGTGTTACAGTCGAAGCTCCGCAAAACGAAAGAAAGTGTGGAAGGGAGTCTGGTGTTGGTACTAAATGACGTACACGACGATATGCTGTAACCTACAATAGTTTTATACTTGCCTTGTACGACGCATGTCAGCACTTGCTACAATCTCTTTATCACTATTTGATACCAGAAAGCTCTTTTCTTTCGTTCGCAGTATATCAACCTCGTTCCTTTTACCTCCTCTTCTCGCTTAATATTCTCTGTTTTCTACAGAATGGCGGATGATCAGCGGACTGGCTCCCCTAAGTCCTCCGCACATACAACATATATTCTCGGTTGGGACCCCTGTGTTAAATCTTAGTGTTGTCCTCACCACAGGAAGCCCAAGGAGCAAAAAGAGAGAAAAAAGAGCCACGGTGGTAGCCTGCGTTCTTTTCATATACTTTTTTTTTGTTCTGCAAAATACTGCTCTGCTCATCTATGCCGGGCTGTGCTTCATCATGCTAGACTATGTTTTTGAAAAATACATGCTTGCCCATGCTTGACTATAATTGCCATGCTTGGCTATGAGTTTTACCTATACCACGAACAAATCTGAAACTCTCCCTTGATTGCAGCCCGTAGTCATCGTGTCCAGCATGGAGAGAAAAAATGTAAAGGAAATATTGAATGTCATGATCAAGATATGAGTTTGAAAAATGGACATCTACATACATCATGAAAAGATATTGCCAGAATTCAGGTAAAAAAATTTCAAATTTTCATAGTTAATTAAAAGACCCATCAGACAATAAGAAAAAGGTCTTCCATAGTTAATCTATAATCTTTGAGGCTTTCGCATTCAGACATAATTAATCGGAAGATCACTAGTTATAGCCAAAACGTCATGTGTTTTTTTTAAATTTCTACGCTTTTTAACCGTAATCTTACATTTAATTGATCTATATTCTGTGATAGTAATCAATAATCATGCATGTAGGATTTTAAGGTCATGGAAGATCCCCTTAGCTTGAACCCTTTGACTCCTGCGACGTCCGAAACCGCCCGTAAAACGAAAATGCACGTTACTTGAAAAATCCACATTTAATCTATAACAATTATTTTGAGCAAAGAGCCATGAATGCCAGTCTAGATTCTTTACTACTAAACAGAAAAACTTCTCGAATCAAAAAATGTGGAGAAATGTCACAAATTCTCATAAAAAATAAAAATRTTTTTGAAAAAACAAAAATCACTATTTTTGACGTCGTGTAGATTGGTCAGCGGTATTTTCAAAGTCAAAAATTACTTTTTATCATCGAATTATTTTTACTTCATTTTTTAGTTTATACTCAAAAATAATGCTTTGAAAGCTAAATTTGGACCTCGTCGTCCATCTATTTACGAGCTTACATGATAACATCGCCCCAAAAATTCTCAAATGTACGGAATACATGAATGTACGAATTTTTGGCACTAAGGCCCCTTCCACACGTATCCGGAAATTTTTGTATCCGCAAAAAWTTTTTTGCGGATACGAAAATGTTTTGCGTCCACACGCAGCGTATTCGAATCGTTTTCACCGTCCACACGTGCCCGTTTTCGTAGAATTTGCGGGTACGGCCACAAAAATTTCCGGACACGTGTGGACGCAACTGCGGCCTGCCACGCAGACGTTTTTAATGTCAGCTGCTTCCTTACGAGCCGACACTAAAAACGTCTGCGCGGCAGGCTAGGACGCAACCCGTATCCGAAAAAAAAATTTGCGGATGCAAAAATTTCCGGATACGTGTGGACGGGGCCTAAAATCCTTGCATAATCTCAGTCCTTGCATAAGCTCAGTGCTGATTTAAGCTGTCCTAGGGCTTCATGATGCCCTCTAGCACTCCACGGATGGACAAAATGGCTCTAAAAATCTTCATTTTTCGAAATACCTCAGTCCAAATAAAGCTACCGTTGCTTCGTACAGTAAACGTTTCTTCGCTGGAATATCAAGCCACTTGTGAACTTTGTACCTCATTTGCATAAAACACTGATAATGACAATCAAAGCTCCAAATATGCTTTTCTTTTGCTAGGACTTGGAGAAAGATTAGGTCCAGAAAAACACTAAAAAGCTCCAAAAATGCCCAGGAGTCAAAGGGTTAAACGAGATATTCTAAGAAGTCACGTGACCCCCCTTTTTGCACTCTAACCCAAAGTTAAAATTATTTTATATTCAAATGGAATATAATGGAGATCGTAACCGACTATTCCGCATATCAAACTCCACGCCATGCATTTGTCTTTCGAGTTTCAAATTATAAGCTCGGCAACTTTTATCACAACAGTTGCGGACTTAACTTAATTACTACGACGTGATAATAGTTATTCAGTGTAGATATATTACTAAGGGATGGACCTTTAGATAAGTGAGAGGGGGGAGTTGCAGGTATTTATGTTGCATGATCTTTTTTTCGGTTTGTAAATTAATGTTTGTGTGTGTTGGCTCAATATTTCTTTGTTGAAGGAGAGATGTTTTTTCGTAGGCAAATTAACTGTTTGCTGTACTGTTGACTTTCACAATAAGGGCTCATATTTTGCGCGTTCTGGTGTATGTCGTTTGCGTTCTTTGTATAATTGTATAATAAGGTACATTATAGAAGCCTTTTCAAATCAATCTTAATCAATCTGACATCAAATGATCATGCAATGCAAATTAAGGCTTTTATTTTTTTATTCAACAACTTGATAGTAACAATAGACTATTGCAGGACATATTACTTAATAATCAAATTCTCTTCATTTGTTATTTTTTCAGTATTACTGATAACAAAATCCAATAATAATAAACTTTATTTAACGATGATAAAAAACCAATTTAGCAAAGCTAATCTTACATTGGGTCATCAAGAAATATAAAAATACAAAAATATGTGAAGCTAATATAAATATCTAAACTACAAAATTTAAATATACACTAAACTATTGAGAAAAGATACTATTT